GAGTATTGAAGGGATGGATAACCTATTAAAAGTACAGTACATGATCACAAATCTCGAATCTAGTAATCACTTGTAATCCCTTAAATAGATATTTCACTAATTAAGTCTCACTTTCATTGTACACTTATCACTCATCTCATAGTACTGATCAATTGGTTATGTAATATAACTTATATTTTTGAAAAAATCCATTTTTATTTGTTTCAAAGAGTTTACATCTACTAATGAACTGACATATGTGTGAATGAGGTCGAGTGGACACAAATATTATATAAATTTATATTTGGTTTAAAATAAAATATTAATGGTTTTTTTCCTAAAATTCCTAGATATATTTATGGAGAATTACAATTATCATACCTTCTCAATAGCATTCATACTCAGACCAAATATCTTTAACAAGTAAGCACGTTAGGCGGAATTCACAAAGTACGTAAGCAGAAACTAACCCTCTTACACGCCCATCATATATAGGAATTTAACATGGTGACATACGATATTGGTATGACCTCCTCGCTCTCAACGTGCGTAGTCTATGCCATTTGTGTCTTACTCAATTTCTCAAAATTGGATAATTCAACTTTCAAGCTTTTTAGTTTATACTATTCTACCGTATAATATAAAAGTTGTCTAATACAAAAAGCTGGTATGTTTTAAAATATACCAAGTTCTGTGTACACTTATAATATACAATAAAAATAGACATCAAGTAAATTGATACCATAGTAAACTTCTTCAGTAAACTTTTGGAATTATTTATATAACCTTTTTAATTATATTATAGAATTAATTTGTTAAAAAAATTTCAATTGAATTTTTACATATAGAAATGTTCATAGTACGGCAATGGTTGCCACCTATAGTTATATAAACAACTTAAAATACAAACACTTATTTAAATGAATATTTTAATTCATTACCGAAAGTATACTGTGTTTGCCATTTAGAATAAATTAGCAATATTTAGAAGATTAATTGCATGATATTTTCTTAATTAGTTTAGCAAACAAATAATTAAACCAACTTACATTACCAAACCAAATTCATTAACAAATAATGAGTTATATAAATTATATATGAACCTTATGAAAGTTTAGAATTTATTTGTAAAATTTTAATTCATATATTAAAATATCTACATGATAAACTTAATTATTTATTATTATTAATGATTTAATATTATTTAATTTAAATATTTTTACTAAATAATATATATTTAGTATATATAGTATTATATTTAGTAAATATATATTTTTCTCAATTTTATTATCTTTCACTTTCATACATAAATTAGTTTTAAAAATAAAAATTCAAATATTCTTTTGTTTGAAAATTAATAAATTATTTCGTAAAGTTCTGAAAATACTAATTTAGTGCAAAAGGCATATTTTCTAGATTTTATATATAGATAAACAACAGTTGTATTGTGAAATTACCTTCTACAGTATTTACATGAATTTCATTATTGATGTCTAAGAATTGAATTTATTTGACAAAAATGTCATTTTATTAGCGCTAGAATTGCTGTAAACATTCTCTTTAGAAACTATTACTATACTATCTGTCAGTACTGTATAGTCTTCCCTTTTGTATCGATTGAATCCTCTCAGGTATTTAAATAATAATTTTCTGCTGAATTAACTNAGCCCATCCATACTCTATAGACAATAATTTATAAGTATTTTCTAATATAATAATAATATAGTGTTGGGAAACGAGTGATACAATGATGTATTGGTGTTATGTATGAGTCCGATATGAGGGCAATTTGCATGAGGGGTGAGGGTCAATGAGTTGATATATAAATAATGAATAGTTTGCAAATCATGAATGAATAGTTAATAGCAATTATAATACCTTTAAGGTATGGTTTTATTTCTATAAAAAATCTCAGTATTAAATATCAAAGAGTAGTCATTATATGATTTTTTCACACATACCTACTCTCAAGGATTACTGTTATATCGCTGTTAATGGATACGAGCGGCGGATATAAAGTGGGAATAGTGTGAACACTGGTCACTATAAACGACACGAACTCCTGGAGGCGAGTGCGAGAACGCACAGGTAGATAATATAGGATATATAATGCTAGATAATAGCTGATAATAGAGTTTTATTTAATTAACTTTGCAATCTATGCATTGCTTTTACCATTTAAGCCAAGGACTCAACTGCTTTTTTTGCTATACTTTTTGTTTTATTGGAAAATATAGTTTTGTTAACAATTCACGAACCACATTGTAATTGCAGTTTTGATTTACTCAGACATTCATAAAATCATTTTATTTATCACGTTTTGAATTATTAGTTATCACTCATTATATGTTAGATACTTATAAAACTATAGCCATTAATGTGTTGTCAAAAAAATTATACAATATTTTCAACAATAAATTCATCGATAGTTTTAATCAAAACCCTTAAAGGAAATCAAATTTACACTCAATTGTATGAAAAAATTCATTTGAAAATTATGTTAAATAACTAATACTTCACATTTACTATAAAATTATATATAATACCTTTATTTACATAAAATTTAAAATTCATATTTTAGCACAAAATAAAAGCTCATCTTATGTTTTATTACTGAATACTTTGTAAAAGTTTGATTATAATATTAACAATGAATTTTAATATAATAAATACCGTATATTTTATTTATTTTTATCATAATACTGTACTGTAATTTCAATGTTGTATTTACTAAAATTGCATATTTAAAATGAACTACAGTAATTGTGAAACTATAAAAACTAAAATATAACTTTAAAACAACAATTGATATTTATTTAATATAATAGGACATTGTGTATGCCAATCATCTTATGGCTACATATAAGAAAATTTAACAAATAAATTATAAACTATTATATCAACTTTAATAAACTTTATTTAAAATTTTAAACAATAATTAAACAATAAACAGAAATATATATTTGATATATTAAAAAGTTAAATAATATAATAGAATATTAATATTAATATAATTTGAATGAATAACAAATAATTTGTTGGATTCTATCCAATGACTGATCCATTACTAGTCGAGCCTTTGATTCCAATGACAACTCTGTCTAATAGGGAAGGAGTGAGTGATTTGGGAATCACTTTATTCTTCTTAACCCAACGATAGAGATCTATGAAGAGCTGGTGGACGAGTTGGTCGGCGACACTGATTTCGCCGTAATAGAGGGCCGTTATCTCACTGTATTCGGTCACCAATATCTCGCCCTCCTCTACAGACACTTGTCTTTTATGTACAAAACAAACACCAATTCATATGAACTTCAAATCAACGATCACTGCCTCACCTTAAGTGAACCAAATCACTCTTATTGCCCACTATTGCTATCAACGGAATCTGCGTACCGGTGCTCCCTTCACATTGACCACACGTTTTGACATACGTTTAAGCGATTACATGATCGCATCATTCATTGGTTTATCATTCAATGAAACTTACCCTTCATTTGGACGATATGTTTGAGTAGATTCTTGGCGTAAATGAAACTCTGACGGTCTGTAATGGAGTACATGAGTAACAAGAGGTCACACGAATGCGAAGATATGTCCACATTATTGATGCAAAGAGTGGATGTGGAGGACGCGTCCAGTATATCGAAAATAATGGGTTCGCTGTCAATGATTATCTCATATTTATATCTGTTGTCTATATTGTGCTCGTATTCCATGATATAACGACGGGTCAGGAATCGCACCACAATTGCTGTCAATTAAGTAGACAAATATAGTTTAAACTTAACCCATATTTTAATCACTTAATCATAATCAATACAAAACAGACCACTTTTGCCCACATTTCTGTCGCCAAGAATTGTAATTTTGATTTCACTCAACGAAGACTTCTTCCTCTTCAGTACTTTCGATGACGATGTCGGGGAACTACTCGTCATTATTAACAACGATTTAAATAAATTATTTAAATATTTTATTTAACAAATGTTAACATTTAATGTAATATTTGACTCTTTATTTGCGCAGAGCTTTCATATCTATAAATATCTCAAAGAATTTGAATTTATTTTTAGAATTTCCTTCGTTTTGCACAAAATTTTCAATAATATTCATACAAATTATAGTCTAATAAGTGAAGGTTTCTTAATAAATATCATTATGTGTTGATTATTATGTAGTAATCCGTTTGGTTTTTATTTTAATAAATTTGTTGTAACTATAATATGCTATTTAGACAATATTGTGCACTTCTTTAATTTGAAAAATATTATTTTATAAAAATTTTAACAAAAATTGCTTCTAAATTTATATTATATAATATTCAATATCTAATATAATAAATTTAAAATAAATTATTTTTTGTTATTTGAATAAAATCTAAAAATATTTAAATCTTATCTTCTTTTTAATATAAAACAATATGAGATATTCATTTAGTTTTAATCTCAATACGTATAACAAATTGTTGATATTTTGTAAATAACATCAATAGCTGTCACCACAATCTCAACACTGATTCTGATTGTGGATAAGACCCCACTTCTTAAGATGTGTTCATATATTGTATAAAAGTTGTGTATTTGGGACACACTTTCAAAAGACTGCTCTTCAGTATTGAATACAAATAATTGAGTATTGAAGGGATGGATAACCTATTAAAAGTACAGTACATGATCACAAATCTCGAATCTAGTAATCACTTGTAATCCCTTAAATAGATATTTCACTAATTAAGTCTCACTTTCATTGTACACTTAGCACTCATAGTACTGATCAATTGGTTATGTAATATAACTTATATTTTTGAAAAAATCCATATTTATTTGTTTCAAAGAGTTTACATCTACTAATGAACTCACATATGTGTGAATGAGGTCGAGTGGACACAAATATTATATAAATTGATATTTGGTTTAAAATAAAATATGAATGGTTTGTTTTCTAAAATTCCTAGATACCTAGATATATTTATGGAGAATTACAATTATCATACCTTCTCAATAGCATTCATACTCAGACCTAATATCTTTAACAAGTAAGCACATTAGGCGGCATTCACAAAGTACGTAAGCAGAAACTAACCCTCTTACGCGCCCATCATATATAGGAATTTAACATGATGACATACGATATTGGTATGACCTCCTCACTCTCAACGTGCGTAGTCTATGCCATTTGTGTCCTGCTCAATTTCTCAAAATTGGATAATTCAACTTTCAAGCTTTTTAGTTTATACTATTCTACCGTGTAATATAAAAGTTGTCTAATACAAAAAGCTGGTATGTTTTAAAATATACCAAGTTCTGTGTACACTGTACAATATACAATAAAAATAGACATCAAGTAAATTGATACCATAGTAAACTTCTTCAGTAAACTTTTGAAATTATTTATATAACCTTTTTAATTATATTATAGAATTAATTTGTTAAAAAAATTTCAATTGAATTTGTACATATAGAAATTTTCATAGTACGGCAATGGTTGCCACCTATAGTCATATAAACAACTTAAAATACAAACACTTATTTAAATTAATATTTAAATTCATTACCGAAAGTATACTGTGTTTGCCATTTAGAATAAATTAGCAATATTTAGAAGATTAATTGCATGATATTTTCTTAATTAGTTTAGCAAACAAATAATTAAACCAACTTACATTAGCAAACCAAATTCATTAACAAATAAAGAGTATTGTGAGTTATATAAATTATATATGAACCTTATGAAAGTTTATAATTCATTTGTAAAATTTTAATTGATATATTCAAATATCTATATGATAAACTTAATTATTTATTATTATTAATGATTTAATATTATTTTATTTAATTATTTTTACTAAATAATATATATTTAGTATATATAGTATTATATTTAGTAAATATATATTTTTCTGAATTTTATTATCTTTCACTTTCATACATAAATTAGTTTTGAAAATAAAAATTCAAATATTCTTTTGTTAATTATTTTAAAATTAATAAATTATTTTGTAAAGTTCTCAAAATACTAATTTAGTGCAAAAGGCATATTTTCTAGATTTTATATATAGATAAACAACAGTTTGTATTGTGAAATTACTTTCTATTTACATGAATTTCATATTAATGTCTAAGAATTGAATTTATTTGACAAAAATGTCATTTTATTAGCGTTAGAATTGCTGTAAACATTCTCTTTAGAAACTATTACTATACTATCTGTCAGTACTGTATAGTCTTCCCTTTTGTATCGATTGAATCCTCTCAGGTATTTAAATAATAATTTTCTGCTGAATTAACTGAGAAGTATTTACTGTATAGAGTATTCTCATCGCACAAATTATATGAAATGCCATTTACTTAACTTCAAAATAAGAAACTCTATTCTTAAATTTTATATAAGAATTTTATCCAATTTATATATATATATACATAGTGTACACCCAATATCTGAACAAGTTTCAATCTCTGTTTTTAATTCCAATTTTAAATAATTCTAGTAATGATAGAAAAATAATTAGTAGTGGAAATGAAAGCCTATTAAATATTGTATAATAACTGATCAAGATGACTTCTTAGTGATCAAAGAGAAAAGGGTATTTTAAGTTTTTTGATTGTTTCTAAGTTTTAACTTCATAATTTTTATAAACTTGTCAAATTTATCTTAATAAAGGTAATATAGTCAACTAAAGTGGAAATGAACAAGCACATTTCAGACTTTAATTTTAGTAACTATGATATAAAAATTCTATAGCCTTGGTGAAGTTATATAGGAAAATTTCATATGCTATATTTTTGTAATTTTTCACAATATAACTTTTTGAAAAAAATCTACAACCAATAACCAAACAACTAAATTGGTCATGGTATATGTTAAATTATAGAACACTATTCCACTCATTAAACACAAGTTATAAAATGTCTGATATCTGCACATAAGTTGAGCACATGACTAGATAATTATAAAATTATATATAAATTTAATACTACCCATGCTAAAGTATTAGTTGATTTAATGGTCGATATATTTTGCAGGAGAGGTATGGTACTTATTGATAGTAGAATCAATATCGATTACTTAAAACTACCCTTAATGATTGGGGTCATTTTAGAAAAATCAGCCCATAATGTATTTTCAATACATTATTTTCTCAGATATTGGATTTACACCGTGTAAAGTGTAGATACTTTATATATAAATTCTACATTTTTTCTCTGGAATATTCTTTCATTATACTGTATTATACAGTAATACAGTAGAGTATATACTAGAAACCTCAGTTTCAGGTAGCAAAATGAGTAAAAAACTCTAAGCAGGTAAACCCTAGACAGAATAATTCATATATAATTCACTGAAAATTAATTCATTTATTGCCCCTTTAAAATTAATATAATGAATTGTCAATGATTAAAATATTGACCCTTTATTAATATAATATATGGGCAATAGTTTTAAAATTGCTTTATGGGATATTTCTGTCTGATAGACACAATGTTATTTCAAAAATAAAATTTAGTAAAAAATAAGTTAAAAAAGGTAATTTCCCTAAACTACCTGATCCTTAAGTTGCTAGTATATACTGTTTAATTTGAGTTTGTTTAGTTTCTACCTTTATTAATAATAAAGTTACTACCATAGTAATTGCATGTATGAATACAGTATTAAAAAGTGACATGTATGTATACAGGTACAATTACTTTATATGGATAGTATTTTTCTTTTGATTAATATTTCAAACCAAATATCTACTGTATTTTTATGCACTTTAATAAATATCTCATAAATCATAAATGAGTTGAGCGTTTAACAAAAAAAAAGTTAGCACGTTTTATAAATATATAGTTTATATAAAGTTATAGTTTTATTTATTTATTGAAAAGAGATTTTCTAAAAATACAATTGAATTTCAAATCACTTTAATGGTTTAGGGTTTTATTTAGTGTCACTTTTGAAATCTTTACGACATGAATTATATTCCATAAAGAAATAGAAATATTAAAATTTCCAAAAGCGTTAATAAACTGTGAAATATTCTAAATATTTGGAATATTCTGAATATTTGTTGAAAGTATAAGAATATTCTGAATATTTGTTGAAAGTATAAGAATATTCTGAATATTTGTTGAAAATATAAGAATATTCAGTCATATCTGTTAATATTATATTCTATTTGTAATTTAATTATATTTTTCTGTTTTATAGAAACAATTTAATTATAAATTATAGGATTCATGCAAAACAGGACTAAAGAATGCTTTAAATTTTGTTTATTTTGTTATGATATGACAAAAATAATAAAAATTTATATTTTATCTCAACTAAAGAAATCATATGTAATACAGATTAGCCTCCGGGGAAATGTGCCTCTGAAATAGATTTGGTTATCAAAAGCAAAAAGTATTATACATTCCTCTACAGCATATCATTTACCCCTTTATTTAAATTTTTAAGATAAAAATATATGTTGAATTATAAATGATTAGTTAAAGCAAAAGTTTTATGTTAGCTATTATTTATCAGACATGAGGAATAGAAAATAATGAATGCTTTATACGTTAATAGGAATCCCTATAAAAGTAACTTTTTATGTAAATATAAATGATGTTGAGTTTGAAAAAGAATTTAAATGAGAGTTTGTATTAAAAAGGCATTGAAAGGTGAGATGCGATTGTAGGCTAAGACTCTTATTCACTCAACGTTTGATATTTTTGACATTAAATATATTTATGATTTTCGTATATTTACTAAATACAGTTATCAATTACTGCATAAGAATTGCATATTCTATTGAATATATTAGTTTAGCTTCAATTAGCGTATATACGGAGTAAGTTAATAAGGCATGGATTTGACACTCAATGGGTTGACAGATATTATGATTTGAATGCAAAGAGTCTTTTGAAAGACTACATCAAAAATATTGAGCTGTTTGTCGAAATGACGTCAGTTTATGTAGGATATAGTGAACAGACATTGAGTTTTATGTAACCAATGTCTTGGAGGA